AACTCTTCTAAATATAACCCCATAACTCTTCTAAATATAACCCCCTAACTCTTCTAAATATAACCCCCTAACTCTTCTAAATATAACCCCCTAACTCTTCTAAATATAACCCCATAACTCTTCTAAATATAACCCCCCAACTCTTCTAAATATAACCCCCTAACTCTTCTACAAATTTATCCTAATTTCTCTTCTACAGCCAAGAATCACTTGTCAACACAATAATTTCGTTTCGTGCCGTGAACCGAAAAAGCAAAATCTGTCGCAGAAATTGTGTTATCGCGAAAATTATTTCATATTTTGCGGAACAGAAACAGTATAAATAATACACAAGTTGTGGTCAGCTAAAAAAATTAGGTGAAATATTTATACGTGCATTAACTGGGAAATGTAATAATTTCGAATTTGAATATTCAATTCAAGTTCCAATTTAATAATATATTTATTATTCGAATCCGAATTCAAATTTATTATTCAAATCCGAATTCAAATTTATCATTCGAATCCGAATTCAAATTTATCATTCGAATCCGAATTAATTATTTGAATCCGAATTTGATATTCATATACGAAATTAGGCGGAAAATTCCTATTTTCTTCTTCAAGCAAAATAAAATACGCGAAAATGTTGAGTATAACAAAAGCCTGACCTGGTGCCGTTAATGTAGCCGCTGTTGAGTTTCTTGACCGTCGCAACCATGGCCGTTGGTACCTTGCCGTCCTCTGCAGTACCATAAACCTTACTTTATATTCAACTATTAACGTAAATGAAAGCTTTATATAAACTATCAGCTATTTAGAAAGATTCAATACGCATCAGCCTTGCATATATTCAAGAATATCAAGAATGTGATTTCCATATTTCCATATATTCAAGAATGTGATTTCCATATTTCCATATATTCAAGAATGTGATTTCCATATTTCCATATATTCAAGAATGTGATTTCCATGCTATTAACATATACAAAATTGTCATGTATTGCAAAAACACTTCAATTCTGCTGCCGCAAGTTGCCAAGAACAAATTGCCACGTTGCAGCTACCAAGCACATATTTCAGCAAACGAAATGATTATATACAAGTTAAAATTCACGCTAATGAAGAATTTCATTAAATGTTCACATGAATATTGACAGCATTATAAATGTAAGAGCGATGAAAACAAGCGTTAGAGTACTCGCTACTTTATACATGGCTCAATAAGACAGTAATAATATTGAATAATACAGTAATAAGAGACAGATGAAGTCTATAAATGTAAGAGCGATGAAAACAAGCATTATAGAGGAGTACTCGATACTATATACATGGCTCAATAAGACAGAAATAAAACTCTAGTAGGTATTCATATAGGAGAAAGGTAAATTCAGAGTCATGCAAACACCTATAAGCTCAGACATGCAGAGTGAAACAGGGGCTAGTAAGCAGCAGGCTAAGGAAGTACAAATTTCTCATCTACAGCCAAGAAATTACCATACAGGAATAAAATAAGGCATTGTTAAAGGTGCGATTAACAAGCAAGCAAAGGTAAGTCTATCACAAGCAAGGCAAGAGAATAACTCAAGGAAGGCATCCAATGGCCCCTTCATAAGTACCTCAATTCATAGTTTTTCCTTTTATAATCAAATTAAATACGCCTTCAATTATCGAAGTAATCCACTAATCAATTCCACAAATACCAACTGTTATCACAGTTTGTAGCGCATTTTCTCATTTATGGAAAAAAAGGTGCAATCGTGCTCGTCATGTCCGTCCGTGACTTCACGTCACGGACGGACGAGAAAATGCGCTCTCTGTCACTCACTGCAATGAGTACTGAGTTATATTTTTTTATCTATGAATACCAAACAATGGCCAAGGTACTGAAACTGAGTATGACGAAACCTCGAACTACATTTTCTCATTGAGGGTACTTACTAATATACAGCGCGATGGTCCTATTTGCCTACTGATGGTTCTGTATTTCAAATAATTAACCATGCTTAATGGACTCGTAGATAAAAAGCTACCCTTTAGTTCGCAGCTGTGATAATCAGTTTACCAGAACTTTAGAGATGAATACTTTGACGATACCTAATGTGTCTGTAGACATAGATTTTCCGAGTAATTTTTGGTCCAAAATTTTACCGTTGTATCTTATTTACATATATTATGTACTTATTTCCACCAAAATTTCAATATTTAATGCTTCTTCTAACTCGAAAATGAATATTTGTTGCATTCGAAACGTCGTTAATAAACAAAAACTATTTCCTGAAACTTGCCTTTCAATCTACCGTCATCTGAAGAAAAGTTCCACTCCCTGATAATATAAACCAACGAATTCTCTGGTCATCGATCGCGCGTGTATAAACAAGTAAATTCTGCCATCTAATACAAACATAGATTTAAGTGGACGCGACGCGAGACGAAGAGCCATGGTTGAATTAATACATACAATTTAATTAATACAATATTAATTCAACCATGCGAAGAGCCACCCACCGTCGAGATAGACGTATCGTATGACGATGGTTACCGTGGGGCGACCGAGGTCGTGATGCCAACACGTGCCAAGTTGTGTAACCACGAGACACACCGTGAAAAGCCCCAAGTCAATGTCGTTGGACAGGTAAGTCTCGGTGTGATCCATAAACTGTCACCAGCACATCATTAACGTTACTCTATACGAAAATATCTACAGCAAATCGCGTTCGATAGTAAAGTCTATTCTCCGAAGCTCTTAACCCAGTAAAAATTTACAGACGCGGCAGCTTCTGATTTGGATTACCAGAAGCTGGGGCGACTCTAAACTTTGTTAGGGTAGGTAGTTCACCAGAGGGTTCTAGTTCCAAGTTTCAAACTCGAGCGAATTTGAAGTGCTAAAGCAAGTTAATACTGAAGAAGTCATCAAGGAAACGTGTTGAACGCATTTTTGTCCATTACAAACCTAATACAAGTTATATATTCCAAGCTTAAAAATTTAATTTAAACATGTTAAACGAAAGCTTTGAACTCGTATAAGCTCAGACGAAGATCCTTGAGTGACTTCAATAAAATGTAACAAGAAATTGTTGCTTACTTAGACGGTTTCCTTCAGTCCTCAAACAAAGATAGCGGGAATATATTGAATATTGCGTGCTAGCAGCGGTGCAACGATTAAGCGCTCAAACAATTAAGTAGAAAACGGAACACAGTAAAAAGGTTAGTTTACAGTTTGCAAGATTATTTGAATTAGTAACACTAGAGAATGTTATTCCTCTGTCATTACATACAGAAAGAAGGTTAGTTTGTACACATGATTTAGAAAAACAAGCAACACAAAAGCAGGACATGCGAACGCCAAATAAGCAGCAAGACTACACACAAGCTTGTCCAGATGCAGGAATGCGTGCGTACCTAGGAAGGTTTGTTTAATCTCTAACACGCAAGGCAACGAACAAGCTTATCATGATGCAGGAATGCGTGCGTACCTAAGAAGGTTTGGTTAATCTCTAACACGACCGTGGGTCTGCCGAGCATGTTCTTCCAGGTGCCCTGCAGGAAATTCAGCTCCGTCTTGAAGATGTCGATGAGCAGCAACAGGTCTGACGCTATGAAGAAGCGCCTGGTGTCTGAAAACTGCACAGCCACGCCCACAAAATAAGCTTATGTAGATATATCCTAAAAAAATTTAGAGTCGCCCCAGCTTCTGGTAATCAAAATCAGAAGCTGCCGCGTCCGTAAATTTTCACTGGATACGATACCACATTGCTGTGTACGTGATCATAATCATCATATTAAACTGTTCCAATGTTGTCATCCATTGCCATCCTATGGGATGCCATTGACAATCCTGATATCGAATCAAATTGAGTGCTGGATCCTGAATTGACAATCCTGATATTATAACAAATTGTGTGCTCAAGCAAGCGTGGAAACAATCTTTGCTGTGAGTCTCTCATGAAATGATCAAGAAAGTAAGGGCCTCTGCTATATGGCTGTAAGCGCAAAAACTGACGATATTCCATATTATATGACAAAGGTCGCACAGCTCTGTTTTGCGAGACGTTTCATTGCAGAACAAGAAAAACAATCACGAACATTACAGTTCAAATAAGAACATTAAATACTAGGCTGGAATCAAAAGATCACAACTGTAACATAGTACATCTTACATCAAGAAGTTGGCGACTCTAACATGAATTGCTTTACTTACACGAGCTTGTGTGATCATAATTAAATAAACAAATTGAAGAACAGCAACATTCCACACAGAAAATTTACTTTAATTTAAGTTATCCAAATGACCGATAAAGTGGTCGTACTGTCGAAAATAGTTGAGTTCGTGACTACGTCAGCTAATCACTGGCGTCTTAAAAAGCTAAATCAACCAATCACAGACGAGAAATTGCCCACTACGTGTACTTAGGCCGCTACGTGTTACTAAGAAATTTTAGATGGCACGACCCTGGGCCTATACTTTCAAAAAAAGTTAAGAGATCGTAAGTTCATCAGCCAATCATTGACGGCCTTTCGAGCAAAATCAACCTATCATAGACAAGAAAATAGAGCGTAAGTACTTGTCGTTCACTTGGCGAGTTTTGAAAGTATGGCCCCTGGACTACAAAGCAACAACTCACAACCAAACGTAATTGCTTGAATGGTGTAGGTATCGCTCTTCACTATCATATTAAAATTGTTTGAATGGTGCATCACTCTTCACTATCATATTGTGTGTGATGATCAGAATCCATGCAGCTAAATATAATTTAAACAGCAATCAACTTATATATAGGTATGATCATCAAGAAATGCAAGACTTTATTGAACGTTCCAACTGAGAATTGGTACTACAGCCATTATGATGCTTGCTGCCTATACATATAAGGCAATAGAACGTACAAGAAATATTAATTAGATCATGCAAAAGTTATAGCAGATATAAACTACGAAGAAATTACCTGAGGAGTGAAGGCAAAGACTCTGTCCTGGAGGCAGTACAGTTTGCCACATTATCTCTTCATTAAACAAGACAATATTAAGGACACGAGAGACTGGGTTACCTGAGGAGTGAAGGCAAAGACTCTGTCCTGGAGGCAGTACAGTTTGCCACATTATCTCTTCATTAAACAAGGCAAAATTAAGGACACAACAGGCTAGTTTACCTGAGGGGTGAAGGCAAAGACTCTGTCCTGGAGGCAGTACAGTTTGCTGGTAGACAAGATACCCACGTCCAGACTCTGCCGTCCCGACAGCCCCAGCTTCTGGTTCCGACCTGTAAGCATTTCTTGAGAATTACCTAATGAAATAAACTTACTGATTAATATTAATTAATTAATAAATCACGCAAACTAACCAAGCATTTGATTACAGCTCAAACAAAGGAACTGAATTTATCGTAATTATAATCCAGAAAATAGTGTAAGTAGCAAAGTCTATCTTTCATCTGTCCTGAATAAAGGATTGATTTGGAGAAAATCTTCTTTGTAGGAAGTATTTCTAAATCATCGAAAATACATAGAAGTGAGTGAATGCAAAAGAGAAGGGTATCCGGATTTTGTGCAGAAAAACTAAGTTTGTTTAGTAAACTAATGAATAAATGCAGATATTATCACGTTAAATTGAATGTAAAGCATGCTTCTATTTAGTTAGCTTTACACAAAATATTCTTGCACAAATACAACCTAGTGAGAGTGCAGATATTTTAGTGAAGATATCGATCAAAGTTGAAATGTTAGAATTTACTCATGTTGGTTTCACTAAATGATGAAGTCAGGCGAAATAATTGTACATGAAGCCATTGAATCGAACTGAATCAAGACAATAATTAAGTGGGAAGTAATCAGCTGACCAAGTTACGAACTCTCGACTATTTTTGACGATATGGCTCCTGGTAACTACTAGAATTACAGTCATCACCTAAAGGGTTAAACTAAACCCCTGCACCAAAGCCTTTACACCAAAGCCCTTGCACCAAAGCCCTTGCATCAAAGTCCTTGCACCAAAGCCCTTGCACCAAAGCCCTTGCATCAAAGTCCTTGCACCAAAGCCCTTGCACCAAAGCCCTTGCACCAAAGCCCCTGCACCAAAGCCCTGCACCAAAGCCCCTGCACCAAAGCCCTGCACCAAAGCCCCTGCACCAAAGCCCTTGCACCAGAGTCCCTGCACCAAAGTCCCTGCACCAAAGTCCCTGCAGCAAGTTTGTACAAGTGATGTAGTCGCACCGAGGTGAGCGTAGAGCTTGCTGAGCACCCTGGCAGGCTGCACCTCAATGGGCGCCACCTCAGCGATGGTCTGCACGTGGATGTCTGCAGCCGCTAGCTTGCTCTGCATGGCTGCGTCCTCCGCCAGCAGCACCACCTGCATTACAGACATGAACATCAAGTTCAGAAATAAATACAAAAAGTTTTAAACTACAAAAATTATTCCAAACAAGTGATCAGACACAGAGATTAATTATAGACATTTATATCAAGTTCAGAAATAAATAAATAAGTTTTAAACTACAAAAATTATTTCAAACAAGTGATCAGACACAGAGATTAATTATAGACATTTACATCAAGTTCAGAAATACATGCAAAAAGTTTTAAACTACATGCAAATAATTTCAAACAAGTGATCAGGCACAGAGATTGAGTTAACGAGAATATACTTATCGTTTTAATAAGAAAACGGTCGGAAAAAAGCTTAGAAACTGTAATTCTGGGAACTGAGAACCTTGTTTAAGTGATTATATTAGACATTCTTAATGGGAGGAAATAAGGAAATAACAGTAATGAGAAATAAGGAAATAACAGTACTGAACTTGATTTGTACACCTTAATAACACATAGTTCATTTGAATCAACACATTAATTTGATTAACTGTAAGCAATGCAACCACTTAAAGTTGACTTCACCTGCACAACGACGTCTGGTTTCTTTTCGGAGCCCAAGCGTCTGTTGAGGGGATCCAGTTCTCCGCAAGCCAGGAAATTCTGCCAAGAACGAGCATTTTATTTTACTTGACATTTCTCCATACGTGATTTTCATTGAGACATCAGAGGATCTTGCTCGGTTAGCACCAGAACTCATTTGCTATCTTCATGATATTAATTCAGTTTATCTTTCATTATTTTATCTCACTTAGCTATAGTCTCATCATACAAAAGATTCTCACTATATTATTATGTTACATCAAACGCATTCGTTTTCATAGTTCTCATTGACTTGATTTTAATTTTAATTACTGTATCATTTTTGCTCAAAATATTTTCATAGAAAATGAAACTCATTTCTTCAGAAGTCCGCATCGCTTAAAACTTTCTAAAATATTTCCTCAAATTCAGCAATTATTAAGCTGATTTTAAATAAACAATGAGAAAGAATAAAAGTAATTATGAGAGATAAATATGCAGGCCTGACATAATGCTAGCTATTATTAAGATGAGAGTTTAAATGAGCAATGAGAAAGAATAAGAGTAATGATGACAGCTGAAAATGAGACTTGCAGACCTTGTCCATAATATTGCCTTCTTTAATGAAGAGCAATTATGCTAATCTTGATATGTTTTAAAGGGTGAAAAATTAAAAAAAATAGAAAAGTAATTCTTTTATGAATGCACGACGGTCTGACATCATGCAGCAGCCTGCCGACGATGTAGAGGGACTGCGCCCACATGAGGGGCAGCTTGCCCGCCACGACGCGCTCCTGAGACCCTGGCTTCTTGCACTCCAGGTCCGCCTTGTGTGCCGGCACTGCATACATCTCAGGCACCAGGCGTAGACCTTCGTCACTAGTCACCAGCATCTGAGGGAGGGTCGGGTGGAGGTTGTGTGAGAGGCGGGAGAGGGTCATGAAAGGGTCGAGTGAGGGTCATGATAGGGTCGTGTGAAGGCCATGTAAGGGCCATGTGAGGGTCGTGTGAGGGCAGTATGAGGGCAGTATGAGGGCAGTGTGAGGGTCATGTGAGAGCCATGTTAAGGCCTTGTGAGGGCCAAGTGAGTTAACACGTCCTGAGTAACAAATGGAAGCAGTCATAAAATACAAGTAATGAAAACTTTGTGACTAGTTCCTGGCTTTAAATTGGGGTGCCAAGTAGATCACTAAGCGACACCGTAGTTATGATAACACTGGTTGAGATGTACCACTTGGTTGAGACTGAAAATAGCAAATTGTCAACCGTCCCTCTCATTTGCATGAGAAAACATCAATGTTGATGTTATGATAAACTCATCAGAAACTAGGCGCCATCCATGACCAGCAGACCCTGCACCAAAGCTCCTGCACCAGAGTCCCCGCACCAAAGCTCCTGCACCAGAGTCCCCGCACCAAATCCACTGCACCATAGTCCCTAAATTAAAGTCTTTGCACCAAAGACCCTGCAGCAAGTTTGTACAAGTGATGTAGTCGCACCGAGGTGAGCGTAGAGCTTGCTGAGGACCCTGGCAGGCTGCACCTCTATAGGCGCCACCTCAGCAATGGTCTGCACGTGGATGTCTGCAGCTGCTAGCTTGCTCTGCATGGCTGCGTCCTCCGCCAGCAGCACCACCTGCATTACAGACATGAACATCAAGTTCAGAAATAAATACAAAAAGTTTTAAACTACAAAAATTATTCCAAACAAGTGATCAGACACAGAGATTAATTATAGACATTTATATCAAGTTCAGAAATAAATAAATAAGTTTTAAACTACAAAAATTATTTCAAACAAGTGATCAGACACAGAGATTAATTATAGACATTTACATCAAGTTCAGAAATACATGCAAAAAGTTTTAAACTACATGCAAATAATTTCAAACAAGTGATCAGGCACAGAGATTGAGTTAACGAGAATATACTTATCGTTTTAATAAGAAAACGGTCGGAAAAAAGCTTAGAAACTGTAATTCTGGGAACTGAGAACCTTGTTTAAGTGATTATATTAGACATTCTTAATGGGAGGAAATAAGGAAATAACAGTAATGAGAAATAAGGAAATAACAGTACTGAACTTGATTTGTACACCTTAATAACACATAGTTGATTTGAATGAACACATTAATTTGATTAACTGTAAGCAATGCAAGCACTTAAAAAGTTGACTTCACCTGCACGACGACGTCTGGTTTCTTTTCGGAGCCCAAGCGTCTGTTGAGGGGATCCAGTTCTCCGCAAGCCAGGAAATTCTGCCAAGAACGAGCATTTTATTTTACTTGACATTTCTCCATACGTGATTTTCATTGAGACATCAGAGGATCTTGCTCGGTTAGCACCAGAACTCATTTGCTATCTTCATGATATTAATTCAGTTTATCTTTCATTATTTTATCTCACTTAGCTATAGTCTCATCATACAAAAGATCCTCACTATATTATTATGTTACATCAAACGCATTCGTTTTCATAGTTCTCATTGACTTGATTTTAATTTTAATTACTGTATCATTTTTGCTCAAAATTTTTTCATAGAAAATGAAATTCATTTCTTCAGAAGTCCGCATCGCTTAAAACTTTCTAAAATATTTCCTCAAATTCAGCAATTATTAAGCTGATTTTAAATAAACAATGAGAAAGAATAAAAGTAATTATGAGAGATAAATATGCAGGCCTGACATAATGCTAGCTATTATTAAGATGAGAGTTTAAATGAGCAATGAGAAAGAATAAGAGTAATGATGACAGCTGAAAATGAGACTTGCAGACCTTGTCCATAATATTGCCTTCTTTAATGAAGAGAAATTTATGCTAATCTTGATATGTTTTAAAGGGTGAAAACTTAAAAAAAATAGAAAAGTAATTCTTTTATGAATGCACGACGGTCTGACATCATGCAGCAGCCTGCCGACGATGTAGAGGGACTGCGCCCACATGAGGGGCAGCTTGCCGGCCACGACGCGCTCCTGAGACCCTGGCTTCTTGCACTCCAGGTCCGCCTTGTGCGCCGGCACTGCATACATCTCCGGCACCAGGCGTAGACCTTCGTCACTAGTCACCAGCATCTGAGGGAGGGTCGTGGGAGGGGCGGGTGAGGGTCGTGTGAAGGTTGTGTGAGGGTCGTGTGAGGGTCGTGTGAGGGTGGGGTGAGGGTCGTGTGAAGGTTGTGTGAGGGTCGTGTGAGGGTCGTGTGAGGGTGGGGTGAGGGTCGTGTGAGGGTTGTGTGAGAGTAGTGTGAGGACAATGTGAGGACAATGTTAAGGTAATTTGAGGTTTCACATGTACCACTTGTTTGAGACTGAAAATAGTAAATTGTCAACGGTCCCTCTCACGTGCATGAGCAAACATCAATGTTGATGTTATGATAAACTCATCAGAAACTAGGCGCCATCCATGACCAGCAGCCAATGACATCTGACACCCATTGTTATAGATTAGAAACACAACAGATTATTATTTGCAACACTTGGACCATGAAGTAGTAAGCAAGGGCACTCAACATAAGTGAACCTCTAAGCAAAACATAGTAAATATATTCATCTACATAAAAATATTCCTCTTATCTGAAGCAAAGCGCCACCTTATCGAGCTGGTCACAGTACTCCTGCGTGAGGGCTTTGTCGCCCTGGAACTGAGCGTCCAGGATCAGGTAGCAGATGAACAGCGGCCACTCACACTCGATGTTCTCGAACATCTTCAGTTCTCGAGGCTCGTAGTACAAACGGTTTGGGTCCTGCCAATAATAGGTCATAAATATTCAGAAAATTCAAATAATCTAATAAAACTAATATTCCATGCATAAAAATTTGATTATAATGATGGAAAATTTTGGAAACGAAACAATAAATTAGCTGTAACCTAAAACAATGATAAAGATTAATTTCACACCGAAATGTGTAAGACCACAATCTTAACTTGAAAGTATTTTCCATCAACATGACATACGTATTATAAAGTACATATATTTATAAAAAAATTACCAATTATTGAACAAAAAGAAACAAGCATATAATTATGGTAACCTAGGTAGCTCACGACATGACAATCATGACACAGGCACTTCACTCTCACCTCTTTCGGAAACAAAAAGGGAAACAAGCATCTAATTATGGTAACCTAGCCTATGACATGACAATCATGACACAAGCACTTTACTCTCACCTCTTTGGGAGTCTTGTATCCGTCCCAAAGGAACCTCTTGCAGCCATACTTGCCCCTGAGCTTGCTGAGGATGGTGTGGCGCGTGCGCTTGATCAGCTCAGGGTCGTCCACAGCAAACGCCGGGAAGCTGATCACACCCAGCAGGCCGCTGTCCACCTCCTTGCTGCTGCTCTCACGGGGCAACATTGACTGCAACATGCAGGTATTACTTGCACGTTTACTTTTAAACGTGATGAAAGGATGTAAGTTAATTGTAAGCAAGTTAGTTAATTAACAATAACATTCAAGTTAATTTCAAGATCTTCAGGCGAGAACAATTTTGATTAGTATTTTTGCATCTACCAAAATGAATAGGTACCTCTGATCAGGTTGATAACCAGCTTCCATCAATGCAATGACAATCAATAAAAAAAAAACAGCGCCAAATATTTCAAACTTTTAAAAACATGAACACTCAATTACTACTCAACATCAACATTCTACTGTTGAGAACAGACTACAGAGAGCACTACTCAAAAACATCAACATTCTACTGTTGACAACAGACTACAGAGAGCACTACTCGGCTACATTACCCTTCTCCTCCCCCGATGGTCTAGCACAAAAGTCACCTGCAGAACAGCCTGGCACTTGTGTGCCTCGTCAGCCAGCACGTGGATGACACTGGCCGGTCCTCCCCTGGCCCCGAAGAGGTCGAGTTCGTTCATGGCCTCGAGGGCGGCCTTGGCAAGACCGATGGACGACGCGTTCAGCTCAGGCAGACCGTGGTTCGTCTTGTCACCGCGCTCCCAGATGCCATAGTCCTGAACAATAACATATAATGAATATACATACAATTTATACATACAATTACCATAACATAAAATGAAGATTACCATCTATTACCATTACCACCAGATGGCGTAGTCCTGAACAATAACATTACATAACATATAATGAAGATTACCATCTATTACCATTACCATTACCACCAGATGGCGTAGTCCTGAACAATAACATTACATAACATATAATGAAGATTACCATCTATTACCATTACCATTATTACCAGATGTCGTAGTCCTGAACAATAACATTACATAATACATAATGAAGATTACCATCTATTACCATTACCATTATTACCAGATGCCGTAGTCCTGAACAATTGCACTCCATAATATATAGTGAAGATTACCATCTATTACATTACCATTATTACCAGATGCCGTAGTCCTGAACAATAACATTACATAATACATAGGTAATGAAGATTATCATCTATTACCATTACCATTATTACATTATATAATCTATTATATACAATATTACATTACCGTTACCTCTATCTNGTGCACACAGATACATTAATATTGTCAGTATAAAATACATGTTAGTCTTTGTGGCTAGCTGGAATATTATGAGTAGACAAGTAAATAAATACTTATAGATTTATGAAGTCAACAAAGGTATAGGGTGCTTGCACATATATTACAACAAAAGTACAAACGTGGTTATTAGCATTAGGCTACAAAATAGATGCACCAAAAACAGCAATTGCAACAATCAAATAACACAAAACAACAACTTAATCTTAATAGTTAGGGTTGACTTGTTCTAGTCTCTATAACCACCAAATATTCCATGCCCTCACTCTGCCATAATGATTCAAACAGCCAAGAGTTTCATCCTCTCCAGAGCGTCTTAAAGAGAAGCTAGTCAGCAAGCCACAAGGTAAGCGAGAACACCTTTTTTTTCGATTGGCTAAGTTCATAAGTAGGGATGATGTCATGTGTGACAGAATGCGTGCTCCAATCTTCAAAGATCAGATTACCCATGCACTCTTGTTTTCCAGCCTTTCTCCCCTTTCTTTTGCTCACATCCCCTTTTATAACCACCCTCCCTCGTTAGTGTCCTTGCACAAGCTTCCTGGCATTAGAGTTTATCATCCTCAAAAACAGCAACCTCCTGCTAGTGCTTCTGAATACTTTTTTTATTTGATCATTCATGACTGATGATGCATGTAGCTTCCTGTAGCCTTGAACGCAATCCAAGGTCTTTTAAGGCAGGTTTTCATTCCAGTAAATTGTTTGTGGATCTTACAAGCCCTTCACACAAAAAGCCTAGCAATTTCTGTCTACCCTGCCATAATTATGGCAACCTTTTTATCGCAAACTTTCACTATCTATACATGATACTAAAAGTTTGAAGAGTAGGCAAAACAGATACATAGGATAAGTTTTTGCTGCAGGCATTTAGGCTCCACAAATATTTCTAGGAATGTTGATAAAATTATATTATATGAAATTTAATATGTCATTTGAAATTTAACAAATTAACTTGTTTTTCAAAGGATATAGGAGTTCAACTGGCCATGATCATTCATTAGTAATAGAGCTCCAATTAATTATATGATCCTTTCAGAGGATAATTATTCAACTAGAAATTAATACCAAAGAAATTACATATGAATGTTATTTGCAGCACAGCACTGTGCTATTTTTGAAAAAAATTTTATGGTTTATCAAATGGATATTGGTAGAGACAACAGGAGACTTACTTGAGACCACTTAAACTTCTCAATTTTATCTTTCTGCAGCATCATTGAGGTTAGGAGTGCTCTCATCAGCTTCACGCAGCTCTGCAAAATAAGATATAAAATCAGGACAAAAGTAACTGCAATAAGCATTGTATGAACAGTAATAAACAATGAGAATTCAATAACCCTAAAAATATGAGAACAAGTTTGTGCAGAAAAATTTTATAGTATACAAATCCCTGCAACCAGTCAACTTGAATATTCTAAAAGGCAATAGCATCAACAATAAATAATAAAGAAAATTAAAAAAATGCACTTAGATGATGAGTATCAAAATAAAATTACCTATAAAGAGATGCCATGGAAAATATAAGCAGAAATAAGTCTTCAGATCAAGATAGTTAAAAGAACATTGATGACTAAATCTCACCAAGTACCTAGTTTAAGCTTATGAAGCCACAAAAAAAACTTGAATTACCAACACAAAATTTGACAAATTAAATTGAAGTTAAGTCTGGATTCAAATTTTTATTAAACAAAAAAATTGTTGTCTGTGATCAGTAGAAGTTGATTTGTGCACATCTACCCTAAATCTTATAAGAGGTTGTAAAATTTTAAATTCAAAGCCCTTACCATCTCCAGCTCATATGTCTTGGCTCGGTCTTCATCCAAGTCAGCATTTTTCTTGTAAGCCATGGAGAGTCCCCAGACTGCAAGGATGGAGTAGACATTGTCTCGCACCCAAGCATGCTGGTAATCTGCACTGGCTGGTAATAGTCCAGTGATGGGATCCTGTATAAATGAACATCATTAGAGCAGAAGTGACCATTTGTTCTCATTTGTCTCTAATTCTACAACAAACAAATTGACTCCTATTCAAGATATTTTTAATTTAACCTATGAAGTGTGGGCAAAAATTGCTCTTTCCTAGGCAAAGTCACCTATGTTAATAGATATTGCATAATGTTTACTTTCCTTTTTGACGGAATTGCAAAATTTAAATTGTAAATTTTGCAACCCATCTCTAAAATTCAAATTTTCATCAATAGTTTTTAATGTTATATCTGCCTGCTCAAGCAAACTACGGTACATTAATAATAGTCTGAATAAATGAGTAAAAGTCACTCCTACCTAACTGAAAGAACACCAGTACTACTCAGTGCTCAGAGTCAGGGACAAGGTCATGGTCAATTATACACATCAGTGTGTCAAACATTATAGATAAAAATAGGTATTCAAATTATATTGATGAGAAATGAGAATTTACAAAACATATCATCATATTGTCAAATGCTGATGCTATGAAAAAAATTTTCATTTTAATTTCACTAAGGCAAGGGTTAACAAAATTATGTGCTTAATTTAGTTCAAATTGGTTGATGCTGGCTAAAATTTTCAAAACCCATGTAGGTACATGAAATGAATGAAATTGCCCAGAGCCTACCAGAGAGTGCTGGCTTCGAATCAATTTTGGTATTGCCTATGCTTGCCTTTCTCGTCTGGATAATCATAAGGGCATAAGGCATCTATTGCTTTTGGCAAATTGGCACTCATCTTAATTCTTAAGTTAAAGCTTGTACCTATCAGTTGTATGTAGCCGTACCTGATGTTGGAGGATGGTTTTCTGAACGATACGGTAGTAATAATCTAACCGAACTCCAGAATTACTCCTGCTCCTCATATTTCAACCAGAATTGAATTCTTTTCACAACAATAAACTATTGTAGTAATATGATATATAACCGAATCTCTCCCTAACCGAAGTTCATTTCAAGGACAAAATGTATTGCGGATTGGCACAGTAGCTCGCGGAGACGTTTTGAAGGTGCCATTAGTTTTTCACTCAGAGCCTTCATTTTTTTTTCATTCGTATAAAGACATGTCTCCATTTCTATAAATTGTTTTTCGACTGATGATTTTTATGAATGTATCCGGGACAGTTTATGAGAATAAATTAATCTTTCAATATCAGCTTGAATATTTTTTAGGATTTACGGTACGACATTCTCGCGGTAATTTTTTTCGCAAGAAAAAAAACTATTAATCAACATAAACACTGGCCCTTTTTTCTTCTCTGATGTCAATCTAACCATGACGATGTTTGTTCTACATTCTTTATTAGATTAAAGCAGTCGAAATAGCGATCGTAGCAGGGACTCTTTGGCGTCACATCTCCGGTTGGGTTGGAGGTAAGTTGAGGATGTGTTAGTCAATACTAACCCAGCATTAAAAATGTTTTCTTCTCAGGAACTATTTAAGCCATTTATTGCAACCGCTGAAGTTCTGACCTAATAGCAGCTGGGATGGGCTAGGATTGCCAGTTAAAGCTTGTCGCAGAAATTTCTCAAGTCGTACTCGTTGAGAAAAATTAATTTCAAGTTGTACTAATTGGTGCCTTTTACAACGCACAGGTCTAAAACACTCCAGCAGAGTCATTGCACAATTTGTAAATATTTTCATGATCTTGGTGAACATGAAACCACACAGAATGTCATTTAGGCTTCGTCCGAAGTACATTGTTTGTCAAGAATAATTGATGAAAAGTTGTTCAGTTGAAGGGTTCCACCGATCGATCGCATGATGGGATAAGGTAATAATATCAAGTAGTGTAATAACTTATAGGAAATGATAATTCTTACCATCGAAATTCATGTTTCTGAACTGATTAGGATTTAAATTAATCCAAAATTTTAGACATATTAAAACGCAAGCTAATAAATCCAATAAACATCTTGGACTGATCAGACGCTCCTACGAGTTCTTGGATGCAGAACCGATGAAGCTGCTATTTGTCGCTGGTGTGCGGTCAAATCTAGAGTCTGGAAACGCCGTGCGGTCATTGAAACTTGAATATGATAAAAATTTAGAAGGGACTGTTCAGAAACGTGCAACAAGGATAATTACAGGCTTGAAGGACAAGTCTTATGAAGAAAAATCATTAAGCCTCAGTTATCGGCGTGTGCGTGGGGACCTCATTGAAGTATACAAGTATACTAAAAGTTTATACAAGGTCCCGAAGGATTACTAGAATTTGAAAGAAGAATCAACACCAGGTTCCACGGCTATAAAAGATTTGTATGCCTTCAAACGAGCTATTTTCCTGTAAAGAAAATGCTACACTCCATACTTGGTTTTAGGACTATAATATACGTGCGGCTGGTGTGGAATATACCTATATAATAGATTTTGAATTTTGACGGACCTCATTTCAATTCAAAGATATATAAGAGAGCTAGGCGTCAAAGCGTTCAGTAATGAAGACCCCGAATACATCGCTTGCGCTCCAAGTATGAACGCGTTCAAGAACAGACTAGATAAAGCTATGGAAAAATAAATATGACTATTAAGCCATCCATCAAGCCCCTCGGTACGACTTTTAAGCCATCCATCAAGCCCCTCGGAACGACTTTTAAGCCATCCATCAAGCCTCTCGGTATGAGTTTTAAGCCATCCATCAAGCCCCTTGACTTTAGATGTATGACTTTGGAGCATGATTTTTTAATCATCGCTCATTTAATCTTGGCTTTCAAGCCAAGACATCACGCGATGTCTGATGATCGCAGCAAGCATGGCAATGCTGCTCAAGATGCTGTTTCCACGAGGCAGGGGAGCGACTCTCACTTCAGCTTACAGATCCTGCAATCAGCGGCAATCCTGTAGTATAGCATATTTATTAACTGTGCTCAAACAGAAAATCAGGAAATATTAACTAATTCAATTAAAATAAAAATTGTAGAGCATAGGAAAGTAATGCTTGAACACCACCGAAAGGTTTTGATGCTTGGAAGATTGCGTTTGCCAGTTCCCGACCACGCGATGTTACACGTAGCTACCATAGGGACAGGTTAACTCTAGCTGGCAGCTGTATATTTTCAGCTTCTTCAATACAATAATACAAATTGTACTTGTGATGCTAACTCTGTATCTCTGTGTCACAAAACCATTAGCTTTGAGGTAAATATCAATAAGAAAATTATTACAATTGGAAATATTAAAGTGCAATGTTCTGCAATTCAATTTTGAAATATAACAATACGATAAAATTTATTCGAAAATTATCTTGCATAATCCTGGTGTTTATGAGCATAAACATCATTTTGTAATTAACCTAGTGGCATTGAATACAAGGAAAAAACTAAGGAACTTAGACTAAGGACTTTACTTCCATAATTTCATTTAGTAGGGAATAACAGCCATTGACTTCAGCGCACATACCTCATACTTTCTACGAGGTTCTCCATCAGCGCTAATGATGTTCTTTAATAGCTGCTATCAGAATTTATTCATGTATATACGCTCATAAAACTGGTCCCAAAAGTGCCCGGGCGGTGCTTCGATTGTACAAAATAATGCGTGGAAAGGCAGTGCAATAAAATTCCTCCCAAATATTTCTACCGAAAATTCGGTGGGAAGGTGTCGGAACGGTAACATGGACCCTTGTATTCATTATCTTACCACATTCCATTTCATCTTTTCAAGCGCATTTATGTGATTGCAAAAATCTTGCAACGGAATTACAGTTTAAATTCAAACGCTTGAAGACAAGACCAAAGGTATACGAAAGTTAGCCTACGGCGTTTAGGCATTTACTTTGTGCAGATATGGCATCATGAAGCGTTGCCAAATGGAGGTGGTTATTAAAAATTTAAATCATAATTAAAATTAAGTGAATATGAATATAATAAGTGCTAAACAAAATTCTTCCATAAAAAAAGAAGGAGGTGTTATTTCAAATGCGCGCACGAACTGGTCTGTCTTTAATAAAGAAACGGTCAACAAAAACATCGAGCGTGAACTTGATAAAAGCTGTCATTCTAGTGAGACCTTTCTCACAACTAGTATAAATCTTTTATACTTTAGTTATATATTTAGTAAAATATCTACACACTGTTCTTCAATGTAGCTTCAAACTATACTACGTTCACCAGCCTGAAAAAAATCGTTTTCAAAGGCATCAAATATATGCTCAAATATTCATTTAATTTAATATCCGGCTCGCAACACTACGGATTAGTCTGTCAATTTGTTGTCCACGAAAATAATTATATAAGTTTGTTAATTCTTGGTAGACACTCCTAGAATATATATTTTGTGATCAGAAAATATTTGTGTAAAAACTTTTAACCTCGTACATGTCCTGTTAAATCGTCAAGGATGTGAAAGGTTAAAGTAAACGTAATTTAATTATTAGGTGGGCAAAATCTACCGCTCAACTGATTTTTTTAAATATCCAAAAATGAATTTGTACCAGTTTGTATGATGTTCTTCTATCGTGTAAACCCGCATTTAATGCAATCTTTAAACTTAGTGTTTTTGAAAGAAGCTAACCGGTTAACTTGATTTCTCTTGAATTTTCTGGGGCAGGAACTAGGCCTATGTGCTTAGGGCTACCCACTCAGACACAGCCCATTAGAAATATCCTAAGGATTATTTCAGACGAAAGTGTGTAGCGACGGTAGTGGACGGTAGACACGTGCATGTAAGCAGACCGGTTGTGTGGAGCCGGCATCACGAGCGTCGTGAGCTCTTTTATTTCAAGATAAAAACACTAATTGGCACATGAGCACATTTTTCACACAAATCAAACCCGCGCACAAAAAAATATTGTTGCACTGTAACTGAGCAACGCAAGCAAACTCATACCCCATGTCAAGATTTCTTTGTTGTGTATTCAATTTCAAATGTAACACACTTGCAGGAGACGAAATTTTTAGTGAGCTATATTGTTTATGACCATTTTTCAAGAGTCAGTGGTTACAAGAATTTTGAGAGCTATAAATTGTGTCCGTCTTATGAAACTGTAGTAGAAGCTCGCGAAAAAGAAACACATTTACCGAACGTGTTTGATAAAAGAATTGCTTCAGAATATTGTCTTGAGATTCAATTACTTTGTGAGCAAGAAACGAGAACGATTTAATTGTGATCAGTGACCATTTTAGAGGAGAACATTTTAATGCTTGTCATCACTCCAGCAGTAGACCAACGAATAAACTTCAAAAATCAGAAATTGATCGATTTCTCTTATCAATCCCAAAAAGACCATTTCTGCCTTTCTTCTGGATTTAATGTTCATCACGGTGAGTACTCAGTATTTACACTTTCATAAGTTAGCCGAATATTATTATTTTTATTAGCCGAAACCGAATAATATAGCTTCGTATGCAATCGGCATACTTGGGCCTTCTCAGCTTTGGCGTACCTCTGAACTTTGCCTGTGATGATTTCGACGTTACTAACGTATCTTCGAGTTTATATAATTGAAAAATCAACGATGACTTTAGCTGTTCAACAATATAATTAAATTGTGCAGCCGACGGCTTGTGAAACTGGAAGCATTTTCGGGAGTTTCAAACCTGCAGCCCTGTAAGTTTCATTAAGATCGAACAGGCTGAACAATTCTTACGTTAATGGTATCATTCCAAATTATAAATTGTCGCTCCTACTTTCACGTCTTGAGTTCCTCTAGTCAGGAGATATTAATCCGAATTAAATTACTATTAATTAATTAAAATTAAATTATTAATTAATTAAATTAAAATTACTCGCCGGTCATCTAACATTATGCTTCTTAAAGAGTCCAATGTTTGTTTATGAGAAGTAATTTCCATTATTTGTGCAATGTCGTCTGCAAGCTTCAAACATCCACCATGAAATCCTTTGATCAAAGTTGATGTGTGCGATAGCCCTTCCTAACATCAAGCTTTTTAGCGCATTTTCTCATTTATGGAAAAAATGCACTATTGTGCTCGCCATGTCCGTCTGTCTGTCTGTCTGTCCGTCTGCCCGTCCGTCCGTGACCTCAAGTTTTCGTCGACGAG